AAATGATAATTGCAGCCCTACTTTTATTAATTTCTTTGAATACTAGACATGGACCACAGAGACCTCAGCTTCCTGCTATGCTTTAACTTGTCACAGGTTTTGATGATAAATTATAGTTTTCGGCACCACAATAATAGTTAGGTGTGACTGTTGTTAGTAGTAAGTTCAATATAGTTGATCTTCTAGTTTCTTTCTCCACTTTTAGAACTTTGATGCTGTCTACATTACAGGGCTTTTCAACCTTTTCACCCATTGTACCACTTTTAAGATATGGCAACATCCGAGTACCACCAGTCGCCTAGCAAGGTGTCAAAAACTTGATGACCCCCCCAAAGGGAAAAAAAGTGATAAAGTACAGGTAGTCCTCGACTTACAACAGTTCGCTTAGTGACTCTTCGAAGTTACAATGGCACTGCAAAAGCCACAGCCGAGCAAGACACCTGCCTGCCCACCCGGCGGCGCTCTTTCTCCTGTCCGAGGTTTTCATTGTTGTGAGCATTTCTTTTGAGGATTGGCAGCGGGGGTGGGGTGGGGGGTGTTTGGCTTTTATTCCCCCCGTCTGCTGGGTGGTTGCAGCAGGTTTTGGTCACTTCACATGACCCTGGGACACTGTGACCGTCATAAATATGAATCAGTTGCCAAGCATCTGAATGTAAATCACAAGACCCTGGAGATGCTGCAACATTCCAGCTAATCGGCGCTTCTTTTGGGCTCAGCAGAAGCGCCAGGATCAGTGCTGCTTTCCAGCTAATTGGTGCTTCTTCAGGGCTTAGCAGAAGCACCAAGATCAGCGCCAAGCTCCAGCTGGAGCCTAGCGCTGATCCTGGCGAATTCAACTGAGCCCTGACAGCCCTGCAGCTCCAGCCATCTCTCGCTCAGGCTTGTGTGGTGCTGCCACCGGTTCAGCTCATTCCCCTCCCCTGCTACCACTTTTCTAGGATGGTTGCGTACCACCTGCCAGGTGCCAATGTACCACAGGTGGTACCCGTACCACTGGTTGAAAAGCCCTGGTCTACAAAACACATCAAGAATCTGTGGGATCTATTTTGTTCATTTATTTAAGACTTATCTTGTATACCATAACTATGGGCAGCTTACAGAACAACAATAAAAACTGTATAAACCATAGAAATAATGTCCAATCCCACAAAGTTAACACACTGAATTCACTGAACTGACTGAAGCCTTGCTCTACTCCAGTGTTTCTCAGCCCCAGCCCCTTTAAAATGGGTGGACTTCAACTCCTAGAATTCCCCAGCCAGTGCATGCTGGCTAGGGAATTCTGGGAGTTGAAGTCCACCCATCTTAAAGGGGCTGAAGCTGCGGAACACTGCTCTACTCAATCCTTACAGGGGTCTTCCAGTTGCCATAAAGTTTGCTTCCCAGTTGATGTCAGGGCAGTTGAATTCCCCTATTCTCAAAAGTGATGCATTTCCTGGATATCTTGGCCATCTCGCCTGCGAACACTTTGCTCTATCTTTTGCTTGGTTGAGTGTCCTGAAGTCCACACCAACATCATTTTTCTTCCCCCTTAATATTCACCCAGACGCTTCCAGCAGGATTTTCATCTTTTCTTTCTCTACATATGATGAAACTCCAGCTCCCAATTTTTGGGCCTGTTTCTTTTGAATAAATTATATCCTTCCAGTACAGGTAATCCTCAACTTCAGACCATAATTGGAACTGGAAAGCAATCATAAAATGCCTGGTCATAAATCTAATGCTATGTTCCACTCTAGTCATGAGATCTTTCCCACATTGATTGACAGTCAATCAATGGATTTATGCCTAAGACAGTATAGCAGCCTTATGATAATTTAGACATGTGATGAAAGCATTTTATCTTATATAGTCACTGGCTAGATAAATTAATCTTTTGTTCAATAAATCAACTAAAACTTTTTTGTTCCATGTTCAGTGTGTTACTCACTATGTACTTCAAGTATATATTTATGAAAATTCATGCTTGATTTAGTTTTTTTTTAAAAAAAAAACCCAGGGATTTCTGCAGATAGCTGCTTTGCATAGAAAAATGTCATATGGAGCCAGCTGTACTCAGTCAGAGGTCAGGCACTGAAATCCTTCAGTTTATCTTGTTGCAACCACTTTTTACAGTTTGTTTTACAATCTCTGGTTATTGCTGCAACTTTCCAAACCAGTATTACCAGTTCTTTTATATATATATATATATATTTCTATCTGTCCAGTTAGAATAAGTGTGTGTGTGTGTGAGAGAGAGAGAGAGAGAGAGAGAGAGACAGACAGACAGACAGACAGGCAGGCAGGCAGGCAGGCAGGCAGGCAGGCAGGCAGGCAGGCAGACAGACAGACATCTGGTGCAGTCTGAATATTTATGCACTTTAAGTGCCTGGCAACTGTAGATTATTTAATTAACCTGTGTGATTAATTTAGATAACCAAAAAACCCAGAAAAAAATAACATCGCTACTATTGAGCTGCTTTCTAAAGATTAATTGCATCAAATTCTATTTAGATTCATAAACTCAGGCGCTTTTTAAATATATTCAGTATCTTTAATAAAGGGCAACTTATCACATTCCTAACCACTAGCTCAATTTTCTGTTTGAATTTTAAGATAATTATCAGGTATTTGAACATTACAGCTCAAGAGATTGGTTCAAGCTGGCATATAGTTACTGCTGTAGGAACAGCTTTCTATAATTAATCCATGGGAAACATCTGCCATTTGTCAATTAGAGATCAGAATGAGTTTTAAAAATAGAATTCTTGGCTCTTATTTCTTTTCATGGAAAGACTAATGTGTTGAGTAGGGGAAAATGAGCTTTCGAGCGAGGATCCCTGGAATTTAATCTCTTCTCTGAGTAAATGTACAATCAACAGGGAGCTGATGCTCATTTTTTTCTGCAGAAGTAATATTCAAATCATATTTCCCTGTCATTTGGGACAAGTCAGTGCTCTGTTTTCTGCTGCCAGAGAAGAGGGAATCTGGAAGTTATAGTCAGTGCTTTTTTTGTAAAAAAAAAAAAAAGTGCTGGAAATCACATATGTCATACAACCCGCCTTGCCTACCCTACAAGGTTCCATCCAAAAAAGGTGCCGGAACTCCGTTCTGGGCGTTCTATGAGAAAAAAAGCCCTGGTTATAGTAGTCCCGCATATTTGAAAAGCTGATTAAAAACTTCTGGATTCTTATTAATATTTGCTATGAAGTCATATTCACAACTAATCTGCTTATTTGTATTGTCTTCTTGAAAATACAATATTATAATACAATATTATATTATATTGGGATTCCTTGGGTCACTGCCAGCAATCCTTCTGTTTTTAGTAATTGGTCAAATTAACATGGAGTTATAGAAAATGCATTATTGAATGCTCCCCTCCATAAAATTGTAATGCAGCATCCAGCTTATTTGCCACCATATTTATCTCACTTTTTTCAGTAAAATACTTTAAAAGTCACACGTAGTATAGTGTAAATTAAAATCAAATTAACAGCTTAAAATGATGTTTTTCTAGTAGTCTTCAAACTGAATTCAGGGAAAATTCAACCAAGCATCCAAATAAGATGACTCCTGCATTGGAAAAATGTTAACTGAGCATAGTTGCACAGACAAGGCATCAATATTAAAAAGGACCTGCCCATCTACCTCAACTTGCAAGGGGTGTGTGTCTCAGACTCAGGCCTGTAATATTGTGTTTATGTACAAGGTATACAGCAGTGATGGCGAACCTATGGCACGGGTGCCAGAGGTGGCACTCAGAGCCCTCTCTGTGGGCACGTGCGCCGTCGCCCCAGTCCTAGGTCTTCAGCTGGGTTTTATAAAACCTTTTCGCTTTAGGCCTCTGCCGCCGTGTACAAAAAAAAAAAGAGGTTCAATCAATCAGTCAATTTCAACTTCTCGCGGGGAAAAAAAAGATCTTGCAAAGTTGGAATTGATTGATTGAACTTTTTAGTCCCACCCAGTCTCTGTTACCACCGCAGCCATGCCCACCCAAAGGGCCACACCCACCCGGCACCCAACGATGTATAAGTGGGTTTTGGGTTGCAGTTTGGGCACTTGGTCTCTAAAAGGTTCGCCATCACTGGTATACAGTCTGCTCTTTATAAATAGAACCCAATGCAGAGTTTACAATACCAATTGAAAACCTAAAAATACTGTATGTAGCAAAATATCTAAAACATAAAGTTAGAACCTCCAGCAGAAAGAGCCACAAATGCAAGATTTTGCATACACTGAAAAGTTTTCAGACTTATAAAGCTAGGGTAAAACAAAAAACCTTCACTGAATAGTGAAAAGACTATAAAATAGTCAGGTGAACCTTTCTTAGGGCATTTCACAATGTATAATATTTTATTATAATATCTACAACATTTTAAAAGCACCACCCCAAAAATGTTAAAAAACAGAATTACTGGGAGTACTAATGGTCATTTGGTCTCATGATGACAGCAGTCTTCTCACAGCATGTCCTTGCCTCCAAATAGCAAAATGTCACCATTGAATAGTATTTCCGTCACCTGTATAAAATTCCTCAGGGTAACCTGAAGACATTCCATAACCAGGGTTGTATTACTGGGTATTCCTCTCAAATAGCTACCCTCTTATTTCACACAGTAGGGGAAAGCTTCTGAAGATCTTGAAGACCAGGTCAACAGATGAAGTGAGGTGCTGTCCAGGTTGTGTGGGGATGGTCTTTCAAATAATTGATTCCAGAGAGTTTGAGATTCACTTCGGAGATGCTGCTGTATGTCAAAAACCTGAACATTCGCTGCAGCTTCAGAACATGGACTTGACTTTCTTGCTATAAAATCCAAGCAAAAACACCTGCTCTGTGTGTTTTGTGATTTTACTCCCAGTCCTACATTTTGGCTTGTCAAGAATATCCCTGCTTATTGTGAAAAAAAGCTATACTGGGGTGATAAGAAAATTATTTATGCGGCACAGGACTCAACTAAATGTTCTTATTGTAGCAAAAAAGGGCCTCCATTCTAACTTCATTGACCTTCACTTTTCAGAGATCCTGAATGATGTTATACACAGCATGAAAAAGGAAGGAGAATGGAAGGTTAGTACACCTCTGTGTCTTGGATGAGTTAAATTTGTCTGATCAGTTTACTAATCTAAATTGTATGCATCTGCACTGGACTTTCTGTTTATGTGTTTAGAGAATCTCTGATGCAGTTAATTCATCACACAGTAAACTCTGGGCCTTGTGTTCAGTAGACCTGCTGTATCCTTTACTGTGACACTTAAGGTTCTTCATGCTTCTCATATTTTTTCCTGATGCAGCAAGGTAGCAAGTGAGCCTTGAAATTACTAACTGAGATAGACAAAGATCTTATTAAATTAGTTTTGCTCTATTGGGTTTGCAAGTGTGTTATTTAGCTATGCTGATTATCTCATATCTAACCTACAATTTGTTGTCAAGTTAGTAAATATACTCCATCTCAGAGTATTCTAAAACATAATTGCCCCTTTAAACTATACACCCACAGATGCATACACACACACAGAGAGAGAGAGGGGGGGGGGGACACGCAGTGCTGTGACCAATCTTGCATTATACTAGCCAAAAAAGAAGTGCTAGCTCAGTGGTTCTCAACCTTTTTAATGCCGCGACCCCAACCGGTTGTAAGTCGAGGACTAAACCGGTCGTAAGTCGAGGACTACCCAACCGGTCGTAAGTCGAGGACTTTCCCTGCCTGGGAGCGCCGCGCATGCGTGGTTCCGCCCCCTGCGCCGGCCGAGGCATAGCTGGCAAGCGGCAGAGACGGAGCAGGCCGACCACCAGCTGGCCCAGTCCAAGGGAGGTAAGGCACCCGCCGGAAAAGGGGAAAAAAATGGCGGACAAAAAAAATGGCAGACAGCCTTGCTTGGCGACCCCCATGAAATGGTTGATCGACCCCAAATGGGGTCCCGACCCACAGGTTGAGAACCACTGTGCTAGCTGATGATAGAAAGCAGATCTGAAAATATCCTTTATCTTTGTGCAGGGAAATTACAGTACATCAATGAAATAATGGGTTTTAAGGAACTTCCAATGCAAGTAAAAATGTTTTAAATGCCTAACTCATTGTTACAGTACTCTTTTAACTCAGATGGAGAACAAAAATGGGTCCATATTTCCAGGAACTGGAATAGTAAATGCTGACTTATATACTCCTTTACTAGCAAAGTGGTATTGTGATCCAGCCATTCATAATGATAAAGATGCTTTCGAAAGAAAGTCAGATCCCCAAACTAAAAACCTCCAGGCTTATTTTGAAATAGGACTTAATGGGAGGGGGGAGGGGGAGAAATGGATATGGATGTGGGCATATTTTAATTATCTGTACAAGTTTGGGAATAGAAATAAAAAGTTGGAAGGCCAATATATAACTGAATAGGAGAATAGGATACTTGGTTTTATAATTTCATTTCACAGAAGGAGGTACTTTGGAACATGAGTGTAACTATTGTTTCATGCTTTTTGTGACATAACTAATTATTTTAATTATACCTTTGCTCAACTTTAACAATTGCTACTTTATGTATAATATTCTTTCTCTTTCTGTTCCTGAAGGTCCTCATTATGGATCATCCCAGCACCCGCATCCTTTCCTCCTGCTTTAAGATGTCAGATCTTCTGGCTGAAGGAATCACAAGTGAGTGGCACGTGCAAGATACTGTCTGTCTGTGGTTGATCCTGTCAACAGAGGCCTTCCTTAGAGCTGGAAAAGTTTATAACTTTTGTAGCACAACTCTTGCCTCAGTTCCCCAACACAGTGCGTCCGTCCAGGCATAACTGGGCCCTGGTTTCTTTGGATCAGTCTGCATTCAGCTTCTTCTGGTATTGTCAGAATCAGATATGTATATTCTTTTACCTACTGTTTTTCCTCCTTCCATACTCCTGGGAATTGTTGCCCAATTCTTTGTCCTTCCATCCAGACATCTAATAAACATTTTACTTTCTTCAGTTATTGAAGATATAAGCAAGCGCCGAGAGCCCCTTCCCAGTCTGGAAGCCATCTATTTGATCAGCCCCATTGAGACGGTAGGTCCATTGCCTATGTTGCTAGTTAATACATTGATAAACGCCTCCTTAAAGATAGATCCTCTGAAACTTCTACATATACCTACACTAGTAATTAGCACTTACTGCCAACTCCTTGGGAAGGGGGGGGGAGTGGGAAGAACAAAGACAAATGCTTTTGATTGCCCTGTAGCCTCAAAAGGAAAATTATTCATCCAAGAGGTCACTATGATTAAGGGTAGTTAGTATGACTGGAGGGTCAAGATATGGGAGTTCGTAGAAAATGTTTGGGATTTGTACAATTGCTGCTAACAGCCTGTTCTCCATTTGCAGTCTGTTCGTGCTCTGATAAATGACTTTAAAAGCACTCCCACATTCACCTACAAGGCCGCCCACGTGTTCTTCACGGACAGTAAGTACAAGGAACAGTCTCAGGCAAACAGGAAGATGTCTAGGACTGTCTTTACTAACTTGGAGTCTTCTAGATTGGGGGATCCTGGGACAACATTTTATTGGGAGCTGGGTTAGTGAACAGGTACTTAACCAATATAATATATGTAATATATTACATTACATCACATATTACATGGTATGAATCAAAGGGCTATTATGCAATTGCTTGAGATATAATAGTAGAGTGTATGGTTGCTGGTCCTAAGGATTTTTTTTCTTCTTCCATCTAATTGTGTCCGATGCTGAGAGGCTGCCTGGACAAGTCCCTGCAATTTTCTTCACAAGGTTTTCCAGAAGTGGTTTCTCATTCTCTCCTGCCTAGGTCTGAGTGAAAGTGAATGGTCCAAGTTTACCCAGTTAGCTTTGTGCCCAAGGCAGGACTAAAACTCAGTCCCCCAGTTTGCTTTACTACTACGCCAAACTGGCTCTCTAATCCATAGTGACTAGATTGATGCATTGTATCTATCGGATTCATTCGTTTTTGGCCAAAATTGTACAATTCATGTTAAGCCATGATTTGTTTAACCATGATTTGATGACTAAATTATTTGGTTCATAAATTCTGTTGACAAGTTAGCCAGGTTCTACACACCATAATGCTAGATCATCTAACATATTGCATCCAAATAGACAAAAAAAAATATTTCCTAGTGTGGTTCATGAACCCATTTCACTGAGAGTATGAATTGTTCTAAGACCCCAGAGAAGAATCTGACCAAGAGGGCTCAAAAGTAAACTTCTGTTCTGAGACATTTACAAAATTTTAAGTGTACGTTATAACAGTGGCCCCCAACCTTTTGGGCACCAGGGACCGGTTCCATGGAGCCAAGTTTTTCCACGGATTGGAGGGGGCGTGGTTTTACGTGCTGCCTGCATTCTGCAGATGGGACCTCACTTTTTTGTGCGGCCTGGTTTCTGGCATGCCGCAGACCGATGCTGGTCCGCAGACCGGGAGTTGGGGACCCTTGCTTTATAGCTTATGGAGTAGACCTATAATCATAAAAAACTTGCAGAACGTTAACTCCCACCCTTGTCTTTCAGCTTGCCCAGATGAGCTCTTTAATGAGCTCAGCAAGTCCCGGATCACGAAAGCAATCAAGACACTCAAGGAGATCAACGTTGCCTTCCTTCCCTATGAATCGCAGGTGAGGGGGAAAAAAAGGGAACAGAGCAGGGACCTCTAATTTTCGCTATAGTCTCAAGGTTGTAAAGATACATGAATTAACATAGCACACTTTTGCTTTGAGAGATTTCACTTTTAATAAAAATAATTATACTGAGTTACTATCTATCTCTAAAATCTTTGCAGAAGAGAAGAAGCTCTGCTTCTTCTATAGAACTCCATGGTGGGGTGGGGAGAGGCAGGATGGCTCAGTGGTTAAGAAGTTGAATTTGTCAGCTGGAAAGCATGACAGCCAGGGTTCAAGATCCAAGTGTTATCAAGTAGCCCGCAGCTTATTCTCATGTATTTTAACTAGAGGGGGTGATTTTCTTTTTTCTTTCTTACAAACTAGTTATTGAATTTATTACTAGCCAGCCTGAGAGCCAGGTTGGTGTAGTGGTAAAGGCATTACACTAGAAACCAGGAATCCTGCCTTAGGCATGAAAGCTGGCTGAGTGACTTTGGTGTGGGGGAAATAGAAGGAGGAAAGAGCATTAGGTATCTTCACCGCCTTGATTAATTTATAAAAATGATAAAGGCGGAATAAAAAAAACTTGACAAACTCCTGTGTTTGTAAACTCGCTTTCTCCTATCTTTTTCTATCAAATTGCCCTCCACCCACTCAGCATTTTGATTACTCCTTGATAACACATCAAGCAAGAAAGTCCTTAAAACTCTGATTCAACATTCTTTTAAGATTAGATAAACCAGAGAACACAATGTTAATTACAACGTTCTCAGAGAAACTGGCGGCATTTAATGAAATATTGTACCTCCATCGTTTTCAAAATAAATCTGCTTTATGACAGACTATTTTTAAGGAACTGGGCACCACTATTGTGAAAAACAAAATGTTACCAGAGCACTGTATGAGTTTACACTTCCTTCCTCATAGATCACTAATATAACACTCCCGTTGTTTTCTCCATTTCTTCTCTCCTCTTTCCTTCTCTTCAGGTGTACACTTTGGACAGCGCTCAGAGTTTCCACCACCTCTTTAGTCCCTACTGCAGGGAAGATAAAAACAGCCACTTAGAGAGGATGGCAGAGCAGATTGCCACACTGTGTGACACCCTCAAGGAATACCCTTCAATTCGCTATAGGAAGTTAGTACAAAGGGAAGAGGAAGGGGGAAACTGATATTCTACCAGTATTCTGTATAAAAACCCTATAAAGAGAATGAGGACAAATTGGGGTATAATACCTGAGAACATGGGAGTACAATTGTGGAGCATATTGTTGAGCCACACCTATCTATTATGCAATGAAGCCTCCTGCTGCTTTTAGTTGATGCAAGGACCGGCCTACTTCTTATAATGGACGTCTGCTGCCAGACCAGCTCATCTGCAGGATTTGATGCTTTAATCATGTGTGGGGCATTGTTTCATCAATTGATTCCCCCTTGATCCCTCCTGGACACATCTCTGTTGCCAGGGATTGAAAGCAGAGTTTCTTACAGTATATGTGTGTAAGAAAGTGGGCCAAGAAACGCAAGAGGCAAGACACTCTTTGTCTTGTCCAGGCATTGGTTTTGCTTGGTATCTCTTCCAGAGTGGCAGAAGCCCTGTTTCTAAATAACTATGTGTTTATGGTTACAGTGGTTCTGAAGACTGTTTCCAATTGGCCCATGCAGTGTTGGTGAAGCTGAATGCCTTCAAAGCAGACAACCCAACCATGGGAGAGGTGAGCAATCCCAGAGCATTCCAGAATATTAAAGAGCAGGCCAGTGGGTGGAACAAGATTGCAAAGACTGTTGTGTCATTTAGAATGAAAAGATCGGGTGTAAGAAGTAACCATTTTCTAGTCTTTCATCTCTAGTTGGAAGAATCTAGTCTCTCATGACAAGTTGGCAGAATCCGTCTTCCAAATACTATCCTTGATTATAAACAGCGTATTTAGTTTAAGTGGAAGTGAAGATGCCCAGCCAAGCATTGTCAAGATGCTTTTCACAGAGGTCTCCAGGTGAGGCTGTTTGGCAGCTGGACAGTTCTTTCCAAGTCAAGTTTAGACATGTACTAAGGACCAAGATCACAGGGAAAGATGACTGCAGTCTCTTTCACTGCAGGTTAACTATTTAATTGGAATAGTACTATCTATGTACAATGGTTCTGCTTTAACCCTTTTCCCAACTTACTATTCAGCAACATCACTTTCTCCAAGTGGCATTTCTAGTAGGTGAGCAAGAAGCCAGGAAATCAGACAGTGATCAAAAAAATGGTCTATAGAGACAAGATTGAAGCACACTATTTGGATAAATTTTCACTGCTGCATTTCAGTTCTAAACAAATTGTGGTGGGAAGTCCTCCAGGTTTTCCACATACCTAGTTAGCTAACAAACTATTGATCTTTATGATTAGATACATGTCCTGCCCAAGTCCTGCCGTGGTGCCTCACCACGGCAGTGGGGAATATTTCTGGGATGGGATGAGCAAAGAATGCCAGGAATATATATTCCCTGAAGCATTACCCAAGGCATGAATGAATCCCAACTGTCCAGCTAAAGAAAGCAGGAGCCTATAATGCTAAATAAAGATGCTGGAGGCAGATGATCACTTTAATGACAATGGCAAAAGCATAATTTCATACTGCACAAGAGAAAGCAATGATAATCCAAGAAAAAAACATGGATAAAAATATAAAATGATTTAACAATATAATGCCAGGTGATGGCCCCTCAGGTTGGGCCATCAACTTATTATTGTTTTTTCTTACTACTATGAAAAAAACCAAGGATCTTGTAGAGTACTAATGATGTTTATGGCTTGGCTAGATTAAAGAAGTCTAGTTGCTGATTTTGTCAAACAGGAAAAGAAAATTCAAAGCTGCAGAGACAGAATTATGGTGGGGACATGAAACATAAGAATATGAGAAAGCTCAACACAGTGAAAAAGTGAAACTAGTAGAAAATGACATCATGGGCAACATCAGCGAATGGAGATAGACTGAAACTCCACATTTTGAGTGAGAGGCTCATGCTATTTACTACTTAAAACATGAAAATCAGGGCTGCAATTGCTTTTGTAGTTAGGAAAGGTATAGCAAAAGTAGTCCGTTATTGTTAAAAGGAAGTGGAGTTAATAATAATAATAATAATAATAATAATAATAATAATAATAATAATAATAATAATAATAATAATAATAATAATAATAATAATAATAATAATAATAATAATAATAATAATAATAATAATAATATGATGATGATGATGATGATGATGATGATGATGATGATGATGATGATGATGATGATGATGATGATGATGATAAAGTTGGAAGGGACCTTGCAGGTCATCTAGTCCAACCCCCTGCTCAGGCAGGAAACCCTATACCATTTCAGACAAATGGCTGTCCAGTCTCTTCTTAAAAACTTCCAGTGTTAGAGCATTCACCGGTTCTGGAGGCAGGTTGTTCCACTGGTTAATTGTTCTAACTGTCAGGAAGTTTCTCCTTAGTTCTAGGTTGCTTCTCTCCTTGATTAGTTTCCATCCGTTGCTTCTTGTCTTGCCTTCCAATGCTTTGGAGAAGAGCTTGACTCTCTCTTCTTTGTGGCAGCCCCTGAGATATTGGAACACTGCTATCATGTCCCCCCTCGTCCTTCTCTTCGTTAAACTAGACATACCCAATTCCAGCAGCTGTTCCTTATGTGCTTTAGCCTCCAGTCCCCTAAGTTGCTCAAAGATATGACCAGGTGATAACTGTGAAACAGATTGCAAACCGCTTATGTGTAAGTTCCATGTTAAGCCAAAAGAAGAAGAAAGCCAACCAGTTTCCATAATGTAATCTTGAGCCAAAACCAATGGTGGGATTCAAATATGTGAACAACCGGTTCTCTATGTGGATGCCATGCTCAAATCATCATACTCTAGACATATTATGAGACCCAGCTCTCTGAAGAAATCTGTAATGCTGGAAAAAGTGGAAGAAAAGAGAAGAAGAGGAAAACAAGCAGTAAGATAGGTAGACTCAGTTAAAGTGGTGATGGTCATAGTAGTATGTCAGTTGCCGCATAAAGAAAAGGTCAGGCTGACTTTTGTTGATTGGTGTGAAATCCTCTTAAAATAAAAATACAATAAAGAATGTTAACAGGGAGGGAAGTAATAGTTAGAAGAATTTCCTAATTGTGTAGGGCAAGAGGAGAAGGAACTTGTTCCTCATCTATGGCTGAGATCTTCCCATGTCATTAATTGAACCAACTTCTTTGGCCTGAATGATTTTTTTTAAAGCAGGGCTGTCCACTGGTTGTAATTTGTTTTTAAAACAATTGTGTTAATGAACGGGAATGCTGTATCAAAATGGGGTGATCTTGGAGGTGGAGGAGTGCTCTTATTGCTGCCAGCCAAAGGACCCAATGCAGATATTCCATCTCTCTGTATTTAATCAGTTCTTGTGGCAAAAAAGATAACATAATGAAAAGCAAACACAAGACATTATTGTGTGAAAACCCAACAGTTGCAGAATGCTGTGTACAAAGCAAGGTGGCTTCATATCTAGAAACCTGAAAGTGTGTTGCTTTTGAACAGGAAGAAGTGCTGCCTTTTCCTTTAAGAAGGGGGTGGTATATTGAAAGCTGATTTATCTATAACAAGCAATTTTGAGACTTTGCTTATAGGACATAATATTTTCTACAGCCCATGCATGCATTTTTATGAGTTGTCGAGTAGCCATTAAAACTCCCGAATGCATGAAAAAGGATGCTATTTACCTTTCTGCATCAGAAGTACTTGGATATGTTAGCTGTCCCCTGCTAGCAACTGTGTGGTTGAGATTGTGCAGTTCCAACATAACCAGCGAATGTTTGTTTTAGAAAGGCTGTTCTACCTTCTGTCTCTGGAGCCTACTGTTTTCACTGAAAGGAACATGTCCATAGGCCTCTACAGTGTATTTGCGTGCCACCTGCAGGCTAAATGATAGATTGCATTGTACTCGTAACACCAAAAAGTGGCCCAACACTGCTACACACCTGTTCTGAATAGCCTTGGCCATGCTGAAAATGCCTTGGTAACAATGATGCTCTTGCTGCTGCTTTTGTAAATTTCATAAACTAGATGTTAAACAGTTGGCAGCATTTAAATAAAACTGGGTTCTTCTGCCATCCTCTCCCAGTCATCATAACCAAAGTACCATTAAAACTCAGGACATTATTAGGTCAGTTAAAGGAATAGTGGAGATGGTGGGATGTCCATGTAGAATCTAAAGGACTTGTTTCAAATGGCTCTAGAGCAGAATTTGCACTACAGAGAATTAACAGCCTTTAGCCTCTTTTGTTGCTTGTGTTGACATCACAAGCGTGAGTCCGTTATGCTTATGGAATTGCTTACGTCCCTTGGAAGGGGGTTTGCATTGTTTGAATAATACATTTTTGACCAAGCTCCCTATTAAAGATGTCTAGACTGAGGCTGCCCACAGTCAGCAATGTTTGGAGGGGAGATTGGGTCTGCAATACTCAGCTGTTCCACTCTTCCTTAGTGCCTGTAGCAGGGCTGCCATTAAATAATTAGCAGTGCAGCTCTGTGGCTGTCTTTTTATTTGCCCACTGAGCTTGGGGGAATTTATTTCCAAATAGGATTACAGATTAAATCAATCCTGCCATGGTTCATCAATTTCTTCAGATACACGGTGTGTCCTATGGATGCCTTTCAGACAATGCCTAAGGACTCTGCTTAGCAGGGAAACATGCAGCGTAACATACAAACCGAAACCACAAAGTTGTGTTTGTTCGTTTTTTATCTTCCCCTTTTTGCTGCATTCAGGGCCCTGACAAATCTCGATCACAGCTTCTGATCGTTGACCGCAGCTATGATCTGGTGTCGCCACTTCTTCATGAGCTCACTTTCCAAGCCATGGCCTACGACTTGCTCAACATTGAGAGTGATACTTACCGGTGAGAGCTGTTGGGGGAGGGGGGGAGAAAGAATGAGTAAAAGAATTCTGTGCCTTCCCATTAAGAGAGCAACCATAGGTTTCTAAGAGAATATTACTCTGTTGCCTTCCTTCAGGTATGAATCCACAGGCATCAGTGACTCCAGGGAAAAGGTAGTACTCTTGGATGAGGACGATGACCTCTGGGTGCAGTTACGCCATATGCACATTGCAGACGTGTCCAAGTGAGAACCTACATACAGCCCTACATACAACTGCCTGGTTGCCTGATGAGTTTGTGATGAACTGGCTGGAGCAATATAAGCCTGCTGGAGCCCTTCTTCCTAAATTGATCTGGATTGCCATTGGTGTCCATTGTGAAGAGTGGAGGGGGGGGGAGAGATGCTGCTTCCACCATTACCCTCTGTTCCAGAATTACTGCCATTTCTGGTACAGAGAGCCCTGGACTTTGAAGGCCGCACAGAGTCTATTGTTGTGGGAGAGATGAAGAGTTGCACTTTGGGGATGAGTGTTTGTATTTGGCCCTGAATATGACCTCCTTCCACAGGAAAGTGACTGAACTCCTGCGTAACTTCTGTGAAAGCAAAAGGCTCACCACAGATAAGGTAGGAATGGCCAGACCCTCGTCTTGTCTGTGATTTGCCTTCCTGAGAGACTTGTGGGCGGGGGAGGGGGAGGACATGCATTCTACATCTCGCAAGCTAGGCTTCTTTGGCTCAAGTTAAGTGACTGAAACATCATTGCTGTTTGGTTTTTCAGGGAGGCAGATCAACCTTAACTAAATCTCATTAGTTCTGGACAACATTTTGAAAACACAGTTATGTGCACAGTGCACAAGAAAGGCTAATCGAGAAGTATAGATGGTACAAAAATTAAGAGGGCCTTTGGGTACACCAAGATGAGGAATCTTCAGGCGGAGCAGCAAAAGTGACACTGAAGTCATTTGGGAGAATAAGAGGCAATGTAGGGTAGGGACTGACATTCCTCCACAGAACTTGCATACAAATGGAAATTCTGGAGAAAATTACTTATTTCCATCCTTTGAAGTTTTAACATTGAGTTTCTTCGAGTTTCTTGAGTGACTGCTCTAGAAATTTGGAGCTTACTTAGCCAGACTTAAAAGAGAGGAAACATCGGCCTGTAGGTCTTGTAAGACAGCATTCGTTAACCTGAATGCCCTGCACATATCTTGGGGCTAAATTCAGAGTATCTAGGAGTATTAGGAGCTCCTTCAACCAGGTTGCAGGGAGCTGTTGTAAGATGAGGGAGAGAGTTGCTTTTATCTGAAATTTTACTAATACTTGGATTGCCTTTATGTTGAGTTTGTCATGGGCAATTGCTGTTCTTTCTAGGCTAACCTTAAAGACCTCTCTCAGATCCTGAAGAAGATGCCCCAATACCAGAAAGAACTTCACAAGGTAAAAGATGCAAAATGTACCATGTGCCTGTACTTAATTATTTGTTTGTTGTAATCAGTTGTATAAGTGATTTAAAATAAGTTGATCCTATAATCAGCCACCATCAATTAGCATGAATTAGAGTACACTGACAGTGCAAATTGTTTCATGTTACAAAATGTCTTTAAATCTGACACTAAAAGGCTGAATAAAAACAACTAGAGGCATGTCTACATAGGCTCTTGCACCAATCCAAAATCAGATCTGGACATGTTCATCTATGTTTAATTGCCGAGCTAATATATTTCTGATTCATGCAGCAAATCCAATATGAGAAAGAAAAATTCCCCATTTATAGAGGTCTATAATTTTCCCAGCAGTAAGAATGTTTGCCTCACCCTACCTTCTGGCTCTTTGATTTCAGCTGATATGGTACAGTCTTCACAGTTCTTTATCTGCAAACCTGTAGAAACATGTATGAGTTTATAACTTCTAAACTAAAAAGCTTAATTCCTTCACCCATCCATGTGTATCTAAATGGCCTGGGTAAATTTAAGCTCTAGAAGAATTGGGACAGGACATGGATTGTACACTGTACCTTATAATATGAATTGTATACAATACCTTAGACTACAGTCCCCATTGTTACAATTTCCACAAAGCTTAGCCAATCCCATCTTGGTACTACTCTCATACTTTCTGAATGTTCTACACCAAACTGCTGCTGCTTCCTTTAGCTTCCATGGAAGCTGTTTTTTTGAGAAACATATTTAGTTGTGAGAAAAGTATCTCTCATTTTGTATTATCTGCAGAACCATCATTTTCAACATGCTGCGATGAGCCAAAATCTTTATCCAGAGACATCTCATCTGTCTCTCTAAATAGCCAGGTTTCTGGTTATTAAAATCTGTATATAATATAAAGGGCTGGAGCCATTGCACTGCCAAAAGTACAAGCGGGACAGATTGTGCAGAATAGTCACAGGGACAAGCTTAATTTCATTTGCATAACTTTTATTGATCATGGCATTTCTAGCTACTACAGATTGTGGCTATTTTTTCAGGCATCCCTTGCATCTTGCCTTGCTCATTTTTTACAGGCAACTTTTTGTTCATTGGAGAGGCAGGAGGAAAAAATTTTAATGCTGGCAAAAAGCCTGTGTCATGGTTCCGATAGAACTGAATAAATCAGAATTCAGAGGCTTGAATCTTCCTCAAAGAACATGTTTATTGGATACAAAATATCGGCACAGTCAAAAGTGAAACCAAGTCTGAGATTCCCTCCAAAGAGTTACACTATTACAAAGTAAAAGTTCCCACCTCAGTGCTATGCAATAACTATGTGACCCAATACAGCAATTTGGTGGGCTTTCTACCAGAAGGCCTGACCCTCCTCTTCCAAATGAGAGAGTGACCTTGGTTTCCACGGGACACAATATTGTTTAGGCTAACAGAGATACTCCGTTCCCCCTCCCTGTCGTGTGGCAACCTAGAACGAGCAAGATGGCTGCAGCCATGTTTGTTGTAGAGTCGACAGCCTGTTTCTTACCATCCTCTTTCATCCCGTAGTATTCCACACATTTGCATCTGGCTGAAGACTGCATGAATACCTTTAAGGGCACCATAGAGAGGCTGTGCGGCCTGGAACAGGTAGGCATATTAAGAATTCAGGAGAGGTGAGAACAAAAGAGAATCACCATGGCAGCCCAACTCTGTGTATTCACAGTGAAGTACAACTTACTTTGGGTGTCTCCTTGTCTTCCCTGGTGAAAAGGATCGTTCCTGATGGGCATCTCTTCTCCCTCCTCACAGGATCTGGCCACAGGGGCAGATGTTGAAGGGGAGAAAGTCAAGAACCCAATGAAGAGTATTGTGCCAATTGTCCTTGATACCACTGTGGAGGCCTTTGATAAGATTCGCATTATCCTGCTTTGCATACTTCTCCAGAATGGTACCATTGCTGGATAACTTCTCTCTCAGCTGCCTAGGTTAGGGAAAAGATCCCTTGCAAGGACCAAAAGGAAGAGAAAGTTCAGGACGTTTCTTGCCCATAACTGGATGCTATGTTCACACAACACTGCTGGGTGTGACATCTGTCTCCTAGGAGGGGTTAAATCCCTCTGTGACTAGCCACATCAAACTCGTAAGTCTCGGGTGGTTGTGTCAACTGCCATTTGAAGGTCCTCTAAGCCACCACAGAAAAGAAAGAAAGTTCTTGCTTCTGTTTTTAATTTTTGTTTGTACAGAACATTTTTTAAAAAGCATAAAAATCTATGATGGCACAATCAGGGCCATCACACTCATGGTTAGTGCTCATCCACTTCCTATCCTGGGTGGTGAAATCTGAAATGGCGACAGGAACATAGAGAGACGTGCTGGCCTAGAAACCAGGAGACTGTGAGTTCTAACATCCCTTAGACATGAAAACCATCTTGTGGGGAAACTAGGCAATGACTGACAACTGAAAAAAGCAGATTGTGTTAAGAAGCAGAAGAAACAATAGATCATATAATCAGTTCACGCACAAAATACTGCACATAACTGATTACAGGTAGTCCTCAACTTACATAACTGAGCCCAAAATTTATATTGCTAAGCGAGCAATTTGTTAAGTGATTTTTGCCCCATTTTACGACTTTTCTTGCCACATTTGTTAAGTGAATCACTGTAGTTGTTTAAATTAGTAACATGATTAAGTGATCTTGGTTTCCCCACTGACTTTGCTTGTTGTCAGAAGGTCACAAAAGGCAATCAAATGACTCCAGGACATTGCAACTATCATAAATGTGAGTCAGTTGTCAAGCATCCGAATGTAAATCACATGACCATGGGGATGCTACCACGGTTGTAAGTGTGAAAAACGGTCTTAAGTCACTTTTTTCAGTGATGTTATGACTTTGGACGGTCACTAAATGAACTCTTGTAAGTCGAGGACTACCACTCTAAGCAAAGACATAGGTGCCAAAAAGATTCACTGGAGCACCCGTAAAAGTTGGTGGGGACATTGAGTCGAAAAAGTATTGTAAAGAGCATGTTAAAATATTGTGGGAGTACCAAATACAAACTGATAAAGCCCTGGAGAATAACACACCAGATTTAAAACTGTGGTTGAAAAAAATAGTGTGGATAATTGATGTGGCAATATCAGGGGATAATATAATGGAAGGCAAAGGTTATAAAACTCTGAAGCCCTCGGTCTGAGCTGCACTCCTTTCACCTAGGCATTAACGAGGAGAACCTCACCAAGCTCATCCAGCATGCCAACATCCAGCAGGAGAAAGACACCCTCTATAATATGCACTGCCTGGGGGCTGCCATCATGCCAGAGGTATTTCACACATGCATTTGCTAGTGACATTTGTTGGGCAGGTAGCTTGTGCCTGTGCTGTTTCTGCATAGTTATCATTCACTAGTGCAGTCTGAGTAATGGCCCTGACAAGAAGGGTAACTTCTGGCTATCCTATTGATGAAGATAAGAATCCCTCTTATTTAAGTCTGCCAGTGTTGTATGTTTCTCTCTGCTCATTCTTCTCTCTGCTCTTTTCCTCTCTTGCCTGTCCCTCGGCCAGTCCTGCTGGAGCTGTTTAGGTAAGCCATTCCATCTTCCTCTAAACACTGGACTTTCTTGAACCATCTTGTCCATCCCCTTCTGCCTTTCTTCCAACAGGCCTGGCTCCTGCTCTTTTATTATTTTTTTAATGGGCTTTTCTACTCGCAGGACACTGGCGGAAACCTGAAGCCTGTGAGGAAAGTACGGTTAGAGCCTACCTACCAACTCTCCCGGTGGATTCCCATTCTTAAGGATGTCATGGAGGTACATAGAAGGAGGGAGAGGGAGCTGGCTGCCTTGAGCGTTGGTTGTGTACTTGAGGATGGATTCAGCTTCAGTCCTGAAGCAAATCCAGTTGAGAATCCATCTGCCCTGTATATCTTTGTGACCTGGATCGCACAAGAAAAAAAATTAAGCTCTTGCTATAGAAAATTGACAAAAGATAAACCATGAAGTCCTTATTACTATGTTGTTCTGTAGTCCAGATTTATTGGGCATCAAACTGCACGACTTTGACGTCTTGCTTAGACAGTAGTTGTGGTCAGGATGAAATTTTTGAGAACAGAACCCCCCTCCACCAGGGAAAAAGACAAACGAAAATGTCTGTGCCCGCACATGCATACTGAGCAGCCAGGATCAGCCATTACACAATCCCAGGTTCTATCAAACCAGAAAAAAGGGAACCCATCTTTTTTACTTTTGCTCATCTTGACACAGGATGCCATTGAGGACAAACTGGATAAGAAGGTCTGGCCCTATATGTCTTGCGCTGCCCCTGGTCCCTGTTCCCAAACTGCTGTGAGGTAAGTGATGCTCCAAATAAATAGAAGAAAGCAGAAGGCAGCGCCATTTTTAACACATTTTACAAGATATAAATTTAAATGATGAGTAGAAAATTTACTCATTTCTTACGTAAAGATGTTTGCTTTTCCACTTAAGAGTATGTTGAAGAACACTCATGTATTCTCCTGTTTGAAAGGTTTGTAGATGCAACATCACCTGTCCTTGAATAGCCGAAGAGCATACGATAGAGCTGATTCTTTCTATGTACATTTGGGAGGGTGGGATCCTTCATCTCTTGGACCAGCTTTTGGTGTTGTATGTTCCCAGGGAGCTGTCTAGCATGCAAGGAAAGGCTGTTTTTCCCAGATTGCTTGGCTGACAGTCTTTTAGCAGATGGTTCCTCCATTTTTGTCTCACAGTGCCCGTTTTGGACATTGGCACAAGACCAAGACAGCAACTGAGTACAGGACAGGACCCCGTCTTATCCTGTATGTGCTTGGTGGAGTTACCATGTCAGAGATGCGTTGTGCCTATGAAGTCACGGAGGCTACTGATGGAAAATGGGAAGTGCTGATTGGTAAGTGCACAGCCAGTGGATAGCCTGCTTGCTCACAAGTGCCTTGTCTTTGATGGATTCCTGTGGTAATCCTTCTCTCCCACATAGGCTCATCCCACATCCTGACTCCCAAACAATTCCTGGAAGATGTGCGCAGCCTGACTGAGCAGACACCCCTGAAGACCTAAAACGTCTCCTAGCCCCTAAGAGACTTGCTGGCAACAGTTTCATTAGCTACCTGGAGAAAGCTTTTTCCTCAGCAAGATGGCTTCTTCCTCATCGGTGCCTTTGTTTGAACCCTTCTGAGACTGGCCCTATATTGACCCAGTCTTTAGCCAGCTATCATGATTGAATTGACACTGGAAGGACCTCCCCCAGGGCCCGGACTGAAGATAAGGATCTGTCTTCATCTTCATCTCTTATTATGATATTGTTTCTGGACGCCCTTTATTTTTTTTCTCCCCCATAAATGAGGAGGAGAAGCAGAGGCTATGTAATTCATGAATAGGTCTGTTCTGTTCTTGCTTATATGAGGCCTTGCCAGGATATCAGTTCTTTTGACTTGACTTTGATGGGCTTCATCAGAGCCTACTTTTTCTCTTACACTCCCCCCACACACCCGCAGCAAAGAAAATTGATCAACAAAAGTGATTGCTTGTTCTTTTATAGAAATGTTCCGGAACAAACTTTCACCTCTGGATTCCCAGGTTTAGAAGCTGGGCTATTGTTTTAACACTTAGCTTGAAAGGATAATTAGCTGCTGCTTTTAAAAAGCAGGAGAGATGCTTTTGCTGTAGAGGGCATGTGCTGGCTGTGTTACAAAAATTGCACAGCTGAACTGAGGAATCTCACTCTTTAAAATAAATATGAAACTCACACTTGTTGGCATTATCTCTTCTGTAGAGGAGAATTCAAGCTGTGATAGTTAGGCAAGAAGATAATTTTTGTTTCCCGTTTAAAGAATCGGGTACGTCAGCCTTCATCTTGGAAAGTTACTGTTCCAGGTGGAAACGGTACTCTGTATGAGTGTCTTTACTTTGTCCATGTTCCACAACCTATTACAAGGGGCTTCCTGATTACAGCATGGAAACAACAGCTGGTCAAAAACGTGATAGCAAGACTGTTTACCATGATGCAGTAAGATGTATACTACTGCTTTACACTCCACAAGTATCTTGTTTGTATTTCAGGCCTTAATTTAAAATGTTGAAATTAAACATTTAACCAGAGTTGTCTCCTTTCATACATGATGTACAAAATATCTTCAGATATTTAACATATTTATTATTAAAAGATGTTACAGTATCTTAAGTTTAGTTAAGTGTCAATAAAATGCATAAAGATTATTTATGCATTTCTGTAGAGTTAAAGATATTAGGGATATTTTCAGATGGTCCAACTCAGATACCCCTCCCAAAAGGTGAGGCGGAGACCACGAGAGCAGTCATCCTAGAGAGGCTTACCTGGCATAAATGATAACCTTGGATTAAGTTGCTTGTGAAAATAAACAAGGCTTCTTCTTTGTTTTTTAAAACATCTAGATTTGAACTGTTTAGTTCTTTCTATGGCACAGATTTTATTCAGGTTTTCTTGTGTATTTGTTTCTTAACGTTTAGAGGGGTTATGTTATGCTGCGCTGTCTAATGTTGTATACGTTTAAGCTGCATTCAGTGAACTGCCCAGACACCATGTAGCCATTGGCTGTTGTTACAAAGACAAATAAAAATAGAAAAGGAAACTTCTTCTGTGCCATTAGAGGAAAATAGACGCGCCTTTTGATTTAGTGCTAAATATGGAGTAGCTTTACATCCTGTGATCATTGCACATAGAAAGGTCCTTTTTAATTAACATTTTAATGCTAATTAACAAAGTACAGGTACATATAACAGTATTAAAGGATCAATGCAACCTCGTAATTGACAAGTACAATAATAAAAAGAGGAGGAGAAATAATATGTAATTGCAAAAACTTTGTATTGCTCAAAAGGTTTTTTTTTCCCTTTGTTGAAAAAAATTCTTAAGATTACCAGCGCGCATCAACAATCCACCACTGCAAATTAGTTGTAGATTTCTCTTTCCAGTGTTGATTCCTTTAGCCAACTCCCATGTCTTCCTCTCTATTTTACCTTAATTGATTCCAAACAGGATAATAGCCAGGAATATAGGGGACTTCAACTCACAGCTATAGATCCATATTCAGAATCCTGTTGATTCTTAAGCACAATCGTAGCAGGGAAAGAATCATTTTTATCCGTTCCAGCTTCTGAGTTGCATCTAAAACAGGGTGATTGTTATAACTAACCTTTATTGACATTCTGTGATGCATCTCTGAATAATGCAGGTAGAAATACTCTATTAAAAAAAACTCCATGCAACTACAAGCAGAGGTTTTTGCGGCGAAGGTTGTTGAGAGTGTGGTTGCACGGCAATTCCCTCGGCACCTGGATGAAGCAGTCTATCTAGACCCATACCAGTCGGGCTTCAGGCCGGGACACAGCACGGAAACGGCATTGGTCGCGTTGGTCAATGATCTCTGGAGGGCCCGGGACAGAGGCTATTCCTCTGTCCTTGTTCTTTTGGACCTCTCAG